GTTAAATATCTCAAATAATTTAATTATTTTATTGTAATAGATCTTAGAATTAATTTGTTATACATTATAATTTAGTTTTTAATCTAATTATAATTTAAAATTATTTTCAACACTTTTATAAATTATTTATTCTTTAGTTTAAATTTCCAAGTAATTTTTTCCTTATTCTTCATGGTTACTATCATGTTGTAATAAAGAAAGACTCTTTGAGAAAGATGAAATATGAGTTAAGAACAACCTTTTAGATGCTTTGCCTTTATTAATATATTATTGTTTAAGAAAAAAAACAGTTCGTACTGTTAAACTTTTTTAAAGACATAAGTGAATTTGATGAACAGGTTTGATTTAGGGAAACCTAGCAATTTCCATTCTGAGTATCTGAAGATCATCCAAACATTACAGTAAGAGGAGAGGTAATTTCCCTTTTTATATCTTAATAGGATTTCAGTTGAAGTTCAAGTCATTAGTGCTCAAAGAATTCAAATACTTTCAATGGGTCGGTCTAAAATTTTCGATATAATATTTGTGCTGATTATAGAATGATTTTTGGAATAAACAGTGTTCTTATTTTAAATATATTTAATTGGATTTAGTAATTGTGATATGATTTTATTTATTTAAACACTACAACTTATAAAAATTAATGCTTAAAATCTATCTCTATTTTTCGAAAAAAAAATCTGCTCCAATATTTACAATAATTATAAGATTTTGATTTTCTCTTATTCATGAATTAGAAGCAGTTTAATTTGGTTATTGTCATTAGGAAGAGAAACTTTCATATTAATATCACGTATCTAAACAGAGAATAAAACCAATATTGTTGGATTAAAGTATATATTTTGTATCCAAATCATAAATAAAAAATAATTCATTAATGAACAAGTATTTTAATTATGAAATTTTTTCTTGTATTATATTAATTAAACCCTTTAGCTTAATTATCTTTAACTAAATGGAAAATGAGACAAATATAATATAAAATTCAATCTAAAATGAATACAAATAAAAAATTTTTAATTTTCAGCATCTAAACAAATTCAAAATTAAGCTCAAAATCACTAAAAGGCTAATTCACTCTGGACTTTTACTATAAAGTTAATATGCTTTATCTCCTCGTGCTAAGAGATTTAAAAGATCTAAATTGCATTGATTAACTCGTTTTCATAATGTAACAATAATTTAACAAATAAGCGAATTCTGAAATCAGTATGATAAAATGGTAAATGAATATTTTATATGAAAATCCTGTATTTTTATATTTTTATAGATAAGTAGAATTAGAAAATGTAAAACTAATTATAAGAGTTAAATAAAAGTAGTCTATTTCATTTTCATGTATCTTGTCCTTGTTTTAGGATATCAAATTTTTGTTAAGATATTCATGTCAATTATACATACTCATGTTAATAAAAAAAGTCAAAGTCATTTGTTAATCAAATAGTTCAAATATTCTTCGAATTAAAATGATTGCTGATTAAAATCTACCTGGGAAGGTTTGATAACTTAAATTAAAGGGTTACTTATATTTATTTAAAGTTCTTTTTTAGAAATAATAAAAAGGTCCAAAAATACTTTATTTTTAATTATCCCCATAATTGAAATATTAAGATTCATTAAATATTATGAACTAATATTAAATAATAATTCTCATATTCTCCAATTCCAGTCAATTTCTATCTATTAGAGTATTATTAAAATAGATAATAAGAGGGTAAGACATTCATTGTATTAAAGCTTGATATTCTGTTGAGGAAAATTAAATAAATAATTCTCCTGTCTTGATGAT